GGGGGGGGGGGGGGGGGGGGGTGTGCGAGGCTTTCCCCCTCGGGGGTGGAAGTCAGGCAGGGTGCGCTCAAGGAGCTTGGGCTCGGAGGGGCGGATTCGAGGCGGTTCTGGCCGGCCCGGGATTGGGTCTCGTGCCGAGGACACAGACGCATCATTCATTCCTCCCCTCCTTCATTCATATGCATCACTCATTCCTTCCTTCATTCATTCATATGCATCACTCATTCCTTCCTGCATCTGTCCCGACCTCTGGGGTTTCCGTCCGGCTTTGGGGGATCCGTGGAAGTACACGTTGTCGTGGCTGCGGGGGTTTTTCCGGCCGGGCGATCACGCCGGGGGGCGGCCAGGAGTTCGAGACCCGCCGGGGCAGCCCAGCAAGACCCCACTCCCAAGCCCCAAGAATCAAAACAAAAAAACTTGTTGCTCAAAGGGAAAGGGGCGGCCTCGCCCCGGTGACTCATCTTCCTGGCCCTGAGCCCGCGGGCGGGTGCGGGTGCGGGAGGGACTTTCCGGGTCGTCCTCGGAAGCCGGGCCGGAAAAAGGGGGGGGTTGGGTGCCGAGTTTGCCTTTTTATTTTTGGAGTGGGGGTCTGGCTGTGTGGGCCCGTCTGGGGCCCAATTCCCGAGGGAGACCCCGACTCGATCAATAAGTGCATAAATTTTAAAAATCCACAGGTATCCCAAAGTCAGAGCCAGGTGCTGTATTTCTTTTATTTTTATTTTTATTTTATGTTATTTTTGGAGTCGGGGTCTGGCTGTGTGGGCCCGTCTGGGGCCCAATTCCAGAGGGAGACCCCGACCCGATCAATAAGTGAATACATTTTAAAAATCATAGATAGACCAAAGTCAGAGCCAGGTACTGAATTTCTTTTTCTTTTTCTTTTTTTGTTTTCAATTTTTTTCAATTTTATTTTTGGAGTCAGGGTCTGGCTGTCTGGGCCCGGCTGGGGCCCAATTCCCGAGGGAGACCCCGACCCGATCAATAAGTGAATACATTTTTTAAAAAACCCCACAGATATCCCCAAGTCAGAGCCAGGTGCCGTATTTCTTTTTTTATTTGTATTTTGTTATTTTATTGAGTTGGGGTCTTGCTGGGCGGGCCAGGCTGGAGGGCAGAAAAATAAAATTTCGATTTTTTTTTAATGATTTTTTTTTTTTTTGAGTTGGGGTCTGGCCGTGGGGGCCGGGATCATCCTTTTCTTTTCTTTTTTTTCCCCAACGATGGGGGTCTCGCCCGGGGACCGTCCCCGCTGACGTCCGCTCCTCTTCTCTCTGTGCCTTCCAGACTTCGACTTGGAACACGCCTTGGACAGCGGTGAGTCCTGCGCCGGGAGACCCTCGCTGGCGAGGCCGAGGCGGGGGGGGGGGGG